CTTGGGCCAATTTCCAGATGATTTCGTATGTCAACCTTGTTTGCGACTGCCAGCTATATGCGAAAAGTTTAAAAAAAAAAAGAAGTAACAATTTTTAACCATTTTACGCAACGTATTTGCCAAGCCAATTTGGGGGAGCACTTTTTGTTGTGCTCAGAAAAGAAGTGGAAAGGAAATTGAAAAGATAGAAGCTGTTTTTGTCATTTTTTATGTTCGCAATAACCTTCATTGCTACATCAAACTAAAATAGATTCACCCTAGGTGAGTATCTTGCATTATAGACGAAAAATAGAAATAGATTCAAGATTTCAATTATCGATATAAATCTAAGTCTAACATGAGACTACGAGACAACACTTTAAAATTCTAGTTAATAAGCGCTCAACGGAAATTCACGATCTTTCGAAGCTTGAGCTTGAAACCCGACCTAAAGCATATTTTAATTTAGAAAAAAACAGAGAAACGAACGCAAAAACTAGCACTGAAACTGAAATACCTTCGTTTTTGATTGAAGATATAAGTCAATAAGTAGGTGAACAAGCGCTGGTGAAACGAATTGTAAATGAGCGTAAGTTGATTTTCACAAATGACCGACCAAGTCGTAATAATTTCTCCTTATCACGATAAATACGCATGAATCCATTGTCCATCAAGACGAGTATAAAAGATGTTTTCCTTTGAAAGTCTCTTTAAAAGAGTGACGATGAGATGCTTTGTTTTTATATGCAAAGAAGAATTCCCTATGATATCACGTCTTGATGAAAGTTATGCACAGTGATGCGCCTTTCAAAATGAAAGGGAGTTTGTTCCAACTATATTCCAGCAGTTGTAGCGGGAATAAAGCTGAGAAGAAAAAACCGTTGACCGGAGCTAATCTAGTTATTTGGGAAAAAATCTCAACCTTCACTTTTGAGAATTGTACAAAGTCAAAGCTTGTATCGTATTTAACCCTCAAATATGCAGAAAAGCTCTTACAAATTTTCAGTAAGGAATATACCGCCGAATATAATTTTCGCAAACAGTTATTTCAAACTCAGGTCAAACACATAATTTACAGAGCGTTCGCTCCTTACATGGAACCTGTCCCGTTGTCGATGGCGAGAATGTTGCCGCCACTTTATGGATTAGCACACGTGGGCAACTGATGATGAACAATTCGAAGGGAACGAGCTTGTTCGACATTGAAGAGCTGATAAAGCCAACATATTAGCAGCTTGCAATTTTTCCGCAAATTTTTTATCACTATTTAGCAACTAATAAATGTTGAATACACAACATTTTGCGTACTTCTCCATGCTGTGGAAACCGATTATATAACATGTCGACTTTTTTTCATGTACTTTCCAGCATGCCTTAAATTTGCGAGTTCGCATAAGTCTATCTTCTCAAAAATCCTAAATTGTAAACACTTGTAACTTTGATAAATCCAGGGTTTGGACATTTCCGCCAGACTGTTTGTTAACATTTCATACGAACAATATTCGGCGCTGCAGCGTCAGGCTTACCCTCAGAGTGCGCGACAAGC